GGGGGACTTGGGAGGCCGCACGCCGTTTCTCCTTCGGTGCCGGGCCGCTTGGTAGCAGCCTTGGTTGCGGGAAGGGCCTCGGCTCTCTTGCCTTCGAGGTGCCAGGGAGCAGAGATTGCTGCTGAACATTTATGTTCGTTGGGTGTTTAGTGCTTGCCCGACAAAGCAGGTTGTCTGTGGAGGCAACAGAGAAGGTCCCTTTTCTGTTGGTGCCCCGAAGCCATCCTGGAGGGACACACTGTCTGGCGGTGTGTAAGATAAACGGTCTGATTTTCTCTTCATTGAGGGCGCAAAAGTCCTAACGTTACGACCGCCGTGTGGTTGCGAAGCGTTAGTGGGGCGGGATTTGGTGCCCCTTGCCCGATAGAATGTCTTGCTTGGGGTGGTAGTAGGTCAGCTGCTGCCATCCATTGATGTCAGAATGGGCGAGGTGACCCCTGACCTCTTGAGATCGCGTCTGGAGAGTGGCTAGTATTCTTCCAGCTTCGGAATCAGGAGGGAGAACAAACCTAGCAGAGGTACCCATTCCATTCCCAGTTTGCTCAGTAGCTGGTGATTGGAAGACACTCTGCAACATCACTCGGGCCTTGCAGGAGCAGCTCTCCCTTCCTGGTTCTTCAATAACGTGGATCTGCCTCTTTTTATAGGCATCATGGCTGCCCTCCGCCCTCTGGTGAAACCCAAGATCGTCAAAAAGAGGACCAAGAAGTTCATCCGGCACCAGTCAGACCGATATGTCAAAATTAAGGTATGTGGGTGCTGGTGTTAAGGTCTAAGCACACGTTTCTGGTATCTATTCTGGGCAGTCCTTTGATTAAAGTTGCGTTTAAAATGACAGTATTTTTGTGTGTGTGAAGGTCAAGAGTTGATTCTCCTTCCCATCATGTGGGTCCAGGTGAAAAGGCTTGGGTTGTCAGCTTGGCAGGAGGCACTTAATGTACTCTGAGCCATCTCTGCAGCCTAACCATAGGTTTTTTGGGTTGGTTTTTTTGGGGGGGAGGTTCGAGACAGGGTTTCTCTGTGGCTTTGGAGGCAGTCCTGGAACTAGCTCTTCTAGACCAGGCTGGTCTTGAACTCAGATCTGCCTGCCTCTGCCTCCCCAGTGCTAGGATTAAAGGCGCACGCCACCACCGCCCAGTCCTAACCATAGTTTTAAAAGATGTATTTATTTTTGTGTATGGGGGTTTGTCTGCACATCAGAAGAGGGCATCAGATTGATGTGCAGGGAATTGAACTCAGGACCTCTGGAAGAGAAGCCAGTGCAGCTTTTTTCCACCTAAGGTTACGTGTTTTGTTGTTTTGCCTGCTTGTATGTCTGTGAGGGTGTCAGGCCCTCTGGACTGGAGTTGCAGACAGTTGTGAGCTGCTATGTGGGTGCTGGGAGTTGAACTTGGGTCTTCTGGAAGAGCAGCAGTGCTCTTAACTTCTGGGCCATTTCTCCAGCCCCATGCCTACCTTTTTTTTATGAGGCAAGGCTACTCGCTGGGCCTAGAGGTCACCAGTAGGCTGGATGGCCATGCACAGCCAGCACTTAGCTGATCGCTCCTCAGGGAAGGCCCTGTCCCTTTGTTGAAACTTAATCAGAAGTGGGAGGTTATGTTGAAGCTCTGACTCAGGTGCTAGGGATGGAGCACAGGGCTTCATGCAAGCCAAGCAAACGTTGTACTAACTGTATTTTAATGGGCGGTAAACTGGGGTCTTAAGAACGGCATGCATACCAATCATTGTACGGCACATACAGTCTTGTCTTACTTTGACCTGTGTGGATCTGAATTTGTGGTCGGATGTGGGAAGGTTTGATTTCGTTGGGAGATTCTGCAGCTGAGCCACAGCCTTGGGAATTCTCCCCACCCCCATTAAAAGTATATGAAGAAACTGGGTAGTGGTGATGACCCACGCCTTTAATCTTTATCCAGCACTTGAGAGTCAGGGGGATCACTTGAGTTCCATGGCCAGCCTGGTCTACTGAGTGAGCTCCAGGATAGTCAGGGCTACACAGAGAAACCCTGTACCAAAAGACCGGAAACAACGGTGTGTAAAGATGTAAAGAAGTAGGAAGGTGTGTTACCCATGGCATGTCCCCTTTGAATTTAGCGCTCCTTCCTGTCAAGGAAGAGCTGGCAGTTTGCACAGAGACTAACTTGCCCGTGTGTCTTTAGAGAAACTGGCGGAAACCCAGAGGTATTGACAACAGAGTTCGGAGAAGATTCAAGGGCCAGATCCTGATGCCCAACATTGGTTACGGGAGCAACAAGAAAACGAAGCACATGCTGCCTAGCGGCTTCCGGAAGTTTCTGGTTCACAATGTCAAGGAGCTGGAAGTGCTGCTGATGTGCAACAAGTGAGTTGGGTTCTGGCCTGGTTAGAGGTGTGCCTGCCTGCTGAGAGCCCCTGTGAGACACCAGAGTAGACAGGCCGCTTAGGAGAGGGGGCATGTATGCTCAGAAGGTGGAGGAGGAGGAGGAGGTGGAGGAGGAGGAGGAGGAGGAGGAGGGCCTCCTTTGATGCAGTGGGTGTACTGTCTGGAATGCTACTGTGGTGATGTGGAACTGGGAGGGATTCTGACCTTGGACCAAAGCAAAGCTTGGCTCTGTCGAGACATGGGTATTTGCAGAGTGGTGCCGATATGTAGAGGTAGAGAAAAGAAGGCTGCAGACAGACAAGTTGTGGGGTTTTCTGAGCAATTGGAGCAACTTGAAACCCTTGTGTGAGATGCATGGTCAGCACCATCAAAGCCAGGACCTCTTAAGAAATGCCCTTGACACTGGGTCTGGGTGGGTATGAGGATGAATGC